GTAGTACACTTCAGTTTTTGACTTTATTGATGAAAGCGTGGCGAAGAATTTCTGACAGCAGATAGTTCAAGATGACACTTGGGTTTTCTTAACGACGACCCTGAAAGTAAGCGGCGATCATAGAACGGGAGCACACTTTCATACCCAGAAAGGTAAAGCCGAAGCAAATCTTGTCAGCCTCAAAAGAATTATGTACACAGTATTCTGGGACTGGAAAGGAATCTTTACTCAATGTTCTTACCGCGTCGGTCAAAACAAATTCATTGCGATTAGCCTTTCCGAAAATTGGCCGCCGAGCGCAATACAGATAAGAGCGCCACGAGGATTGCTGTCAAAAGGTGTTTTTTCTTTCACAACGCACGACCACACACATGCAAATGTGCGAAAAGCCTCCTACGAGGATTTGGCAGGGACGTGTTTAACCATCCTCCGGACACCCTGGAACCTCGCTCCTAGCGCCTTTCATCTGTTCTTACATCTCAAGTCTTTCCTTGGCGGTCAACACTTAACAATGACGACGAGCTGAAAAACTGTTTCCAACTGGTTGGAAGGCATAGCGGCAAATTTCTATGAAGAAGGGATACAAAAACTTGTGACACGCTGTATGACAAATACCTGCAAAATTTCGGCAGTTATGTAGAAAAGTAGTTTGAGTTGTAGAATTTCGTGCAATAAATAATTTTCTGTATCTGTACACAATTTAATTTTATTACCAAACGGAACTTGCTTTCTGACGTACTGTTTAGTTGTATATATTCGAAACGAAGAATTTTCTGTATATAGAACAATTAAATTGATCACTAATAATTAAAATAAAAGTACTGGAGTTGATCAGCGCAGTAAGCTCGCCGCGTGCCGCCACCAACAGTCAAATCGGGGGGTACAACGGCAGGCGAGCGACGGTTAGAGTAGTGCGCGGGAAGGCTCGAGTGAAGCAAGGACGGGAGTGCTGCGTCCAAGAGATTAATTGTCGTTGTTATGTGCAGTTCGGACTGGAGTGTGGAACCAGGTTGATAAAGATTAAAATCAGATGATTAGTGAAAAGTGGATTGCGCAACAGAACTGATAAATACCAATAAGACAGGAAATCGTGTGGCGATGACTTCGTGTCATATTCCCGCCCTGGTATAAATATAACAGTGGGCATACTGTATTTGACATCGCGCACAAGTGGAGAGAAGGTCGTGAAAAGACTAAAACTGCCAACGACATCAATCACGCGTGCGTTGCATTCCAGTACCGTGAGGACATTATTCGTACCGGCGGGGGGTGGACCCCGCGAATTCATCGCATTACGTGTTGGGCCAGAGGAGTTGGTCGCGAAGGAGGCGAATTCCCGGCGGACTTCGGGCCGAAGAGATTCCGAAGACCACCGCGCCGTTGCCACAACGCCCCGGTCGCCTCTTAGAGGAAGCAGGTGGTTTTTTCAAGGTAGCGTTGACCGTGCGCTTGTTTTTCCAAGGCCTGCGCATTGCGATTTGTAAATACTATTGTTAAAGTGTGTTTTGCTGATCATTTAAAATATTTAAATGTGCAAAAGAATTTATAACAGATTATCTTCTATGCTGCGCCAAATTCCTGGAGCCCATTCACGAAACTGCTACCGTGTCCTTGCATAATTTATTTGTCGTGAAGTACCGCTTCCAGTTCCTCAGGTAGTACTATATATATATATATAGTTATAATATATATATATATACTATATATATTATATATATCTATCTATATAGTCTATATATATATATATATATATATATATATATATATATATGACTCGTCTGACACGATTGTAATTGTGTATGTGACTCAATATTATTATTTGCGCCTTGCGACCACTTACTCGATAATTCTGCTGCCTAATCTATGATAAATACTTTTCGAACACAAACCATCATTTTTAATGAGTGACCTACCAAATTACATCCAAAGTATTGGACCTTTTTGTTTTAGTATTTGGACAGATAATGTGATGCTGTGGGTAAGGGTGTTAGAATTTCCGTATCATTCCTCATACTGTTTTTGTTTGGTTATCTTACCTTCCCAGCAACGTGAACGGCGGATGATGGTTCAGTGGTGGATCTTCTCAGACGTATTTTCGGAAGCGAACATTATTCGATCACCTCTTTTCAGTTACCAGTCTTCTTAATCGTATTTTCACAGTTGTGTCGTGGCAGAACACACGTTAGAAGTTTTTCGTTCGATGATTATCATTTTTATTTTGAACCAATCTAGATGAAAATTTACACGAATTCCGCGCAAGTTATCGAGAAACATTGTTGCAGCGAATGGAATAGCACTGGGTCGTCGCAGGCGAGCAAATAATTCGCATTACTTGAAGGCGGCTGAAGTTGACTCGTGCAACTTTCCACTTTAGACGACGTATAACCGGATGCCGATTGATTTGTTTTCCTCGCAATGTAGACGTTAATTCTGTTTTTGAATTTTTGTTGGCTACGTGCCGAACATTTAACTTTCTGTTTAACCAATGTAATTTTTATACTTTATTTACACTAAATCATTAGTATCTTTTGAAGTAGTAATTTCCACTTTTGTCACTTACCTTTTGTTTGATGTTCTTCACAGATCTTTTGTTTCATTATATTTTTATTTTATAACCATATACCTACCTTGCATTCGAGGAAGTAACCTCTACTAGTTACTATTTATCTAAGTTAAATAACAACTAATACTAATTCTTTAAAACACTGGTAAGAACATGTGCAAGTCGTAAATTTATCACATTACTTTTATGGCAACAATTTGTTATTAGAATTTTAAATATTGTAACAGTGTCCCATACCTTGTGCAATTGACAAATGAATTTACCTTAAATCATTGTGGATACTATACAATATTGAGAATAACCTCTGAATAACCTATAATAACACAAAATTTCCCTTGTGCCCACATGAAAGTTCATCAGCAAATTGTAGAATGATTTTTTTTCCTCGCAGAAGATACTTGTATCCAAATTTTGTCTCTGAATCTCAAACAACTTTTCAATTTTACAGAAAATGTAAAACTACTTTTTGTAATCATTTCCAATTAATTCTAACAGAGAGCAGTTGTTTTTGAAATGCAATTGCATAATCTGTGTTTTTCTCATCTGTTTGCAGAATTATTAGTTTTTTTAATAAGGTATGCTTTAATTTAAAAAAATTAACACTTCCTACTTCTTCCACATCTTTCAACATTAACCCTTTCTTGAGAAAATTGTAGTTGTGCAGTTAAAAAACAAAAAACTTTCTCCGCTGAATTTGAGCCATTTGTATTAATGTTCACTTCTTATGACTTAAATGCAAATTAATGAAATATATTCAGAAAGTCAATAAATAAATGATATAAAACAGGAGAGGCAGAAAATTAAGAATATTTAATAACAACAAGACAACAATTAAAAACTAAGTAGAACTTAAAGTCAATCAAGGATATATCAGTTTCAATTAATATTTAATTATTATATAACATATTGGAAATAATGGCTACATAGTTAACATACAAAACATGAAATTATTTCAGGTTTATGGTATAAGTGTCACTCCATTGTGGACAAGTATTTCATTGAATACTTAGTATTTCTATTACAGCATACCCTCACAGACTGATGATATCAGTATTCTGAAAATCATGAACTTTCTTCTGCATGCAGAAAATACAAATATAAATAAATAAAATAAACATTTATTGCAAACCAACTGTGTGAATTAAGTAGAAATTTTGATGCTACATTCTGATGCTACATGATCTCTCTTTCTCTATATATCTAGCTAATCTAGCCTCTTATTTATTGACTGCAAAGAATATTTGTCTACGGTATTTCAGAAAAAAATTGTGGGTGAGAATCAGTTTTTGTGTACCTGAAAAACAGCATTGCTGGCACTTGTCAGTATCAAAATCCTACAAGAGTGTAATTTTGTTCCTCAAAATGTAAACACACAAAACAATATCCTTATTTATTCTCAATTTCATTCCATTACATCTTGCCACAGAAGCATGTTCTAAAATAAAATAATTATAATCATAAGAGGAATTAAAATATATATTTTTTTTTAATTAAAAAAGAAAATACTGCACAGAATCACAGATATTCATAAGCTGAAGGTTGAGAAAGAGGAAAGGAAATGTACCAGCAAAATCTGAGTTTCTGGGTTTTCTTTGACACTAAAATCTTACGAACAGATGAGTATGAGGAGCATCCACTGTTTCTCGGTAATTTATAGAATGAAAATCACTCCTCTCTTATCTTAAACTATGGCATATATATTCATGTATTCTGATTACTGTTACCAATACTGTTATAACTTGTACAGTAGCCTATTGTAGTGGATGTAATTGTTTTAGAAATTTGAAAAATAATGGTGTTCATAACATTATTTATATCTTCTTGAAATATAAAAAGTAAATGAGACACGTTATCTCCTTTCACATAATTGTTTATTGACTACTGTACTCAGAAAATGGGGAACAGGGGGATTTCCTCTTCATCTTGTTTCTGCTCCCACTTTCATCAGTTTTATACAGATGTAAGTGGTTAATACCCAATCATACATCTGAAGGAGTAATATCTGCCATGCTAAGGGACAATGCCGACTGTTCCAGGGAGGGATTCTGTTTTATTGAGAGAATGGTTTATTTGATATTTGTGAAGACACTTCACTCCAAACACAAACATATTATCAATAAAAAAATTAAACACTGATTTAAAAGATTGATTAAATAACAAATGATTACAATAAATGGTAATAATTTCATCAGAATGATTGGAATGTAACTTTGGCACGCAAGCAACAAGTAATCTCATTAAAGAATAAAACAAGACAGATATTGATTAATATGAACATTCAAGCCAATGAAATGTCCCCACAAGCACTTTGCAAAAATTCTTTCAAGATATTTTAATTAATTTTGGTCTGGTGCATGTAGACATTTGCAATACCAACTTTTAAATTATTTTAATATACAAAAATTGTATTTTTAATACACATCACGATAGGCATATTTCATTATGTGTGTGGCATTAATTGTGCTTGATATTTCAGATATTAATTCTAATCAGTACAGATGATGTATTTTCTTGTAGCGTTCATGTCCATAAAAAAGTTACTTTTACAACATATAGTATGTATATATATCTCACTTACGTGAGTACATTTTGAGACACAAGAGGAGTGTCTCTTTTCCACATTCTATCCTTTTATATTGAAGCACAATTAATACATGATCATTTAATCTTTGCTTTCTGTTGAAAATATCTTGAAAGATTTACAACTTTATAAATAACCTTGTTAAAAAATAAAGGCATTTTGGAGTTTTGGTGTGACCAACGATGCATCCACTCATTGCAGATATTAACTTCCACAGAGAGTAGGTGTCTTATGTGTCATACACATTCCCACACCTAGTTTTTATACAAACTATTCAACAACAAGGAGAAAACCAAATCTGAAAAAAGGGATTTCTCCTTTATGTTCTGTTACCTGAATTGGTAATGAATTCACAAAATAACATACTTTCATCTAGCCTTCAGTTTTCTCCTCATTTCTGAATATGCTAATGTGAATTGTAAAGTCTAACAATAACATAACAAGGTACAAGTAATGGTTATAGTGAGACTTAAATAACAATCATTACTAAAATATCACAAAATTATTGATAAAATGAAAAAATACTGAGCCACTGACACGTCCTATGTGAGATCCTCTTTTCTCAATAGTGACTCATGCTTTCATTCTCATCTGATCTTCAAAAATAGATTCAACTAGATACAATACACTGGACTCAAAGACAGCCAGCCTACAAGATAAGTGAAAGAGTGGGAAACAGGCCTTGATTACTTATAGTCAAGGGGGGAATTATGCTCAGCTATGTGGACTTGGAAACACACATTCTCCTGTCTAGAAAAAGGCTTGCTCAAATCACAAACAGTGTTTTGAATAGGCCCCACTAGACTGAGTAAGATGCATGTCTGTTAGTTGAGGCTTGAAAGGGAAAATGAAAATACGCATGACCTAACCAAGCTGCTTGCAGGGTTGCCACAAAGCCTGAAAAAAGCAAAAAATGTCACAAAAACTTACTCTCTATGTTTCCAATATGTACAAATAGTGGTGTACAATCCTTTTCATTTCCTTCTGTAGAACGTGTTTAACCTAAATTTGTGTGATCTATGCTCAGAAGACCACCAAGATGTAGTGGCAAGTGGACATTAGAAATCATCTCTTATCAAACGAGAAGGGACCTTCTCAAAAATTCACATGGTAGAGTAAGATGGAACATGCACCAGACAATGTACACACTACTAGAACTTTTACTGAGTGATCAAAGGCCCACTGTCCTCTTTGACATTAAAAGGCATTCACTACTGTCCTTTACTGTAATTGACGAGTATACATTGCATCCAACCTTGCACAACATTCAAAAACCTAACAACTCAAGTGTGTGTGTGTATATATATATATATTTATTTATTTATTTATTATATTTATTTGTTTATGTATATTTTTCTTAAAACAATTACTAAAATGTCTTCGAATTATGTGGATTGGGAAGATCCCTTCTTTTTTGAATCCACTGGAAAGTGAAGATAAATATAAATTGTTCATGACATATTTTATACATGTATTTATAACATATACATCAGCCAAAATAATTATGATAAAAGTCTATTATATTTTATCTACATAATAATACACAAAGTAGACAGACACGTTATATCTGCCATTTTCCAGTGGAGTAACAAGCACATTAAAATATATTTCTAAATTACTGAATATACCGATAGCCTAGGAAGTGTAGTTTTGAATAGCTATGAGATCTCTAGAGACATTACAATGAGTCATTCTCTGTCCTCAAAAGCAGTCTAAGCATGCATGCATGCACTGCACTATACAAGGAGTAAAAACCTGATGAGGCTGTGTCTACACAAAGCCTCCTCGCAGCCAAACTAAACAACTTGTGGCTGGGTCAATTATTGGATCTAAGCATACAGAAAGAAAGCTAATAACTACGTCATCACACCCAAGTAATAGGTTACATGCAATGTAAAATGCAAGGGTATGTTTTGCTTCAAACAAAGCATGTCCATTCTTGAATGAATGTAGTTGTGACTTTAAACTATTTTTAAAATAATTATTGAAGGATTACATTATCTACATTGTCATGTTACATGGTATGTGGTTACACTTCTAATTTACGACTACATTATAAACTCTATGCTGGTGGCTTCTTAATACCACCTGATAGTGGAGGAATAGGTCTTAGGGCTGGCCCAACCTGACATGCCTGGTACCTAAACGGGGAGGGAGCAGTCAAGAATCATTTACTCTGGACAGCAAGAATGGAAGTGCTTTGTTTCCCAGTAAGCCGCAGTGAGGAGTGGATGGGGAAGGGTAGGGTTCTCTCCAGGCCCGATTACTTCATTGCCACACCACTTCCAGGAGCAGCCGGTGCTGGAATACTCTATAACTGCGGACAAAAAGCCTGCGATGCTCAGTTTAATCTTGCGTCCTGTTTCTTAGGCATTAAAACAAGCGATCAAAGCCTATAAACATGGTGACACCTATAAGCTAGCAAGCAGCGACTCAAGCTAACCCTGCTCTGCCGGAACTCTTCCGTAAAAATGCTGCCTAGACCCTTGACTACAGTCAATTCTGGAAGCTCACTCTTCAAAATCTTGGTATTAAAGGGAAAGATCCACCTCAACAACATGGCCTAAATTTTCATTAGTCACTAGTATATCTAACTCCAGAATAAAAGTAACATCCACTTTTTAAAACTTGTCCAAGGTTGTTAACCATGCATTCATTCATCTTCTCATATATCTATGTACACAACACATATTTTTCTTTTGTTCTTAACAACACCAACTCTGTCATTCCTCATTGAGAAGATGGTCGAGGCTTGCGTTCAAGTCCTATTATCAAATTAAATATAAACAATATAATAATTCTTTTGAAAACAAGAAGATCCTACATTTTACAATCTAAATACAATATAATACCCTTTCAAATACTCCATTATCACATTCATTTCACAACAAACCATGTCTGTTTACATATGTACAGGAAGTATTCACTTCATCTTGCCCTTTAATACCAAACACCAACTCACTGAGGTTTGGCAACTTGACTGTTAACCGACAGAATCCAACCAAAACACACTATCGAGCCTGCTAAGAAGAAAAAAAAAATCCTTTGCCCTGACCTAACTTGGATTCTTAAATGCTGTACAGGAACATTTACTTCAGTTTTTAAAAAAATGTGGCACTTCTTTCGTCTGAGAGATATCACGGAGTACAGTACAAGTATAGTGCAAAGAAGACCTCCAGATATTTGTTCTTTTTTATGCTTTCTTTCTTGCGAGGCTCTTTGGTCCTGTTTGCACTACGTACATGTTTAAGGGAAACATCCAAATACGTTTGTCACAGCCTCTAAGGACAGAACACCAGTTAGAGACTGAGTTACAATCACTCATTTGACTAGAACCAATCTTTATTTTTTTTTAATTGTTGTGGTTTTATGGAATGGCAGAAAGAAACTCCAACAATTCATTGAAATCACAGGTGACACCTATTTCATGACACCATGGCAGTGACCTTTAGCAGTCTTCCATAAATTTTAACCTGTCTATGATGTTCATAAGTATCATACCACTTGATGCAAAATAAATTAGGAAAGAATATTGTTTTTATCAATACATATTTGTTGACTGTCAGATTACTTTAGAATATACAATGATTTCTGCCAAACCATAAGACCACTATCCTAAAGTTCTAACAAATAGTAATTTTTTTTTATTCTTCTTTGAATGAATTGCAGAATGGTGGGTGACTCAGTCTGTAACATGTCAGTGCTGATAATCCCCATCTATCTCATTTGCACCTCTCTTTCCTCTTGTGACGCTGGGGGCATTCTCAAGACCTAGGAGCACGTTTGGTTAACTACTATTCTAATTAGGGAACGATACAAAACAATAGTTTTGTTCAATTAACCCTTTAGAAGGGATTTGTTTTCTTTTGTATGATACAAAAAGAAACTAGGACAATCAGTATAAAAACCTCGCCATCAATTCTCCATGTTGTGTGGACCTGAGCGCGCCTGCAGATGGACGAGCCCACCTTACAACACACTCCACATTCACACTGCCTTGGCAACCCGCGAACCTGCTACTCCATAGGACTTTTATAACTTTACATAACGCAAAATTAACATCATAAATCAATATATTTTTGTGTCATTTTATGACATTAGAATAATTATATAAACATTATATGAAACAAGTTCAATTGTTTTTTAAACAACAAAAAGAAAATAAAACACTCTCAAGAACAAGTGAAAAACAGACTTGTCTGAATGAGTGTAAACTAGGAATTAAACGCAAATACTTGTGGGCAAAGCATGGCGGTTGACAGCTGTGCCATCTGTCCTGCCGGGGGCAGGGTGATGGGGATGTGGTAGTATTTACATAGCGGGCGTACACATTTCCCCTTTGCTGCATCCCGGCACACCGTAACCTTCATGTCCACAACCTCCACATGACCTAAAACACATTTTAGAATGGAGGTGAACGCTCATTCACAAGAATGGAGAACTACGGAAAAGAGGACCCATTAATTAATAAACAAAAATATTAATTATTTAAGAAGTTGCCGTTAGTAATAACAAATTAAACATAAATTGTTCTAATAAAAAAATGACAAAATGAAAAATACTGTACATTTCAACAACAAGAAAAAAATGTTCTTATAATCAGTGTTCCTATCATTTTATGATAATATGTTCATTAGACAGCCCATCTATAAGATTATCATTAAAAATATTTGTTTTAAAAAACAAAATTTTTGACTTGCACAAAGTTTATTATCTTTCTCCCAAATGCTCTAATATGAGCCCTATTAGGTCTAACCTACAACTCCTTTAATTGCTTGCTTTAAAAGACATTTTATAAGGATTCACTCTGAGGTTTGAAGTAACGCAAGTCATTTGATTAGCAAAATTACTAATATGATTATTTACACTAGATTAGAAAGTTTACCTTCCTGAAGATGAACAAATTTGCAGGCTGGCCGATTGCATTGTTGCCGGTTAAAATCTTGGCACACCGGGAGGGTGTCCAGTAACTAGAACAGCAAATAAATCCCTTACACTTGTTGGAATAACTCTTTTATTCCAAGAAAGGAGCAGAAGATCGCAAAATTTTGACATTGCAAGTCACCATAAACATCTTGTTCTATTATAAATGCAACTACTGTACAAATAAAATCATGTCTGTGCTCATATTACAAGACTGCACTAACACAATGTTAACATGCATGAATAAGCACAGATCATTTAAAATTGATAAGGAAAGTTTCACCATGCAAAGTAATATAATGCACAAAGGCACCAGTCACCTTAACTATAATTCAATTTAACTAAATGTTATATCAACAAAAGCCAAACCACAAACTTCAATAGGTTATTTTTAGTGGATATTCATGCAAAATGCTTTTCAAAACTTGTATCCAAAACTACAAGACAAATGCAAACCAGCTACTAGTATTCTTCTGCAATGATTATTTTATGCTTCACAGCACAAATAAATATAATTAGAAATGGTGAATTTATTGATGAATTCATATTTGAATAGCAATTCAACATTTTTCATTTTGTTTTTGTAATATTAAAATAATATTTATCGTTATAAAAAATAAAAGCACATCTACCTGTCCTTGCTCATCTGTGTAGATCACATAAGGAGCGTTTGAGGGCACCGTGGCCACAGCTTGGGGCCCGAACCAAACGTCATGCAGCGGAACAAGCGTACGTGTGAGAAGGCAGCAGTGCAGGCCAGGGGGAATAAGCACAGCCAGACGCAGAGCGTTCAATTCGTTACCAGTTTAATGTTCCCCACACCGCAGCAGCACATTCCGAGGCGAGGTTGGCAGATGTAGCGCGGTACGACAATCCGGTACACCAACACGCACACACAGCACAACACATCCAGAATGCAGTTGTTTCATTCGTTTATATATTTGGTTCCAATGTTTCAAAGGATGACAGTAAACCGCCACAACAGCAAATCAGAAGATTAAGATATTAAGGATGGTAGGAAGAAGTGATTCCAATGGGTAAGGAATTGGTTTGGTTGTTGACGTGCGATGGGAGAACGTTATTCAGCCAGAGTGTGGGAAAGCATGAAAAAAAGAGAAATAGCAGAAAAATTAAATACTGCATGCCAAAATATCACAGAGATTGAAAATCATGACTTAAGAGTTATCTGGCTGCAGCACTACATACATTAATACCACAAGCTGTCTCGTGAGCATGGATCCTTTGAATTGGAGCCACGTGTGCACTAGCTAGACAGCTTTCAGCTGCTTCAACATCACATTAAGCTACTACCACTTCAAATCATGCTGCAAAGTGTCTTCCAAACTCAGAGCTCTTTGAACACAACTGAAAACTAAACTTTTCACAATCAAATAGAGGCCACAATTTTAACACTCACAATCATCAGTGTAGAATATATAAGAACCATCTACTGCAATATAGAAATAACACAGCATCAATAATTGTTAAAATTCCAAACCAATGTGCTGCAAGCAGTACAGTATACAGTGAACATTGAAATCTCAATATTTTTCACAGGTCATGATTCTTACACAGGCTGAAGAAGGCAACAAAATAACACATACTATAAAAGACAAAACTACCATTAGATGGGAATAATAGGACATCTTCACCAATGAGGGTTTCTGTTAGAATTATTTTCCCAGCAAAGATGTCTCTTTTGTCCCTTCAGCCATATTTCACACAAAACAGGTTGGTACTTTATTAGTGACAACATGCGAAAACACACCCATACTGGGCAGCCTTTTGATAGGCTGAGTCGATATCAAAGAAAGACTCCTCACCTTTCAAGAGCTTTCGTTTTATACTGAGTGGAAAATAAAAGAATTTTGTTGAAGGGTCTACATAAAATCATGCATTTGAATGTTTTTATTTTCTACTTGGACACATTACTCCCAAAACCACTGAAAGCTATCATTACAGAGGCACTTCAAAACCCTTTGTTATAGAATGATAGGAAAACTGGCTTTCAAGAAATTCCCACAGCTTAACTGAATATTCTTGGTTAAAATATGTGAGTTAAGCATGTAGAATATTAAAATAACAATAATCATTTTCATGACGATTGCAATGATAATAATAATAATAATAATAATAATAATAATAATAATAATAATAATAATAATAATAATAATAGACTGAAATATATACTACAAAGAATTGGCAACAAACACAAACCAATGTTGCTAACAGGCCAAACATGCACCAGACTAAGACACCCAAGTTTTATGAAAGCAAAGGAGCAGATTTCGTCAGTTTTCCTCATGCACTCAAGTGCCTCCAAGTTGCAGATACTGTGCCATTGGCAGTGTATTCTGTAAATTCTCACAAACTCTGTCTAGCTGTATTCACTAAAACTCACGAGTTCTTCATAAATAAATCCTTCAAGCATCAGTATATAAAGCAGTGTTTTGCTAACATTTACCTTTTGAAAGTACCACAGAACGCAGAATACATGCAATAGCAACAGTAAAAGGGAGTAATGTGCCCTCAGAAGTAAGTAATAAATAAATAACCCTGTAAATGTAGAAGTCTTTAATCAAGCATATGAATTCACCCAGTCTTGAACACTTTCCACTGTACATTTATTCTTTGTGTTGGATCCAATGGCTAGTATAACTGTGTGCATATTTCCACTTGGCCATTAGCATCATCGTTGTCATCATCATCATCATCACCACCACACCCTTCACGACAGTATGTGAGAGTTATTTCAGTCTTTGAGGAAACATGGATAAATATTTCAGGTTAAAATGCAGTATCTACAGCTTTCTTTCATACAACTTTGTGTTTCTTTTTGTGCTTCTTCATTACTTGGTTTTAAAACACTAGACCATGCACACAATAGTGAAATTGTGTATTAAATGCATACTCTCATAAAATGGGTCTAATGTAATGTTGTTGTTGTTTTTTTGTTTTGTTTTTTGTTTTTAATATTCATAAAGCTCAAAATACAATAAGCAAGTATCTTGATAACCTGCTAAGTGTTTCATGTTTTGACAGGTGAGTAATCTTAACAAAAAAATAAAAGCACCATTTATACTTTTGTTTCCCTTCTCCTTGTAAAGCAATATGGCTTACAAAATGCAACCTACACAAACACTACAAGGGCAACAGCAATCAATAGGAATACCAGAGCAAAAGGAATTGTTTAAAATGGGGTTCAAAAAGATTGGGTTGACACATAAAAAGAGCAAAAGAGTGAGAGACAAAGATTGAGAACAGGAGTTGGAGGCAGTGGTTAGTTATAGAACAGGATCTGCCTTACCTTATGTAGCATTACAAAGATGCAGAAAAAGGGTCAGAACACTGGAAAACTAAATAAGTGAGTTTTCAGAAATCTCTTTTGATTTCATGTGTCTGACTGTTTTAATATGTATACATAACTAAAATGCTGTAGGAATTTTGTGGGAAAGAGAAGATTGAGAAAAGAAGCATTAATAAAACAAATAATCATGCATTTCCAAGCATTATTATTACAAATACTGGCTGGTGTTGTCATTTGTTTCTTTACATACAAAGATCAGCAGGATTAGACAGTACAGTACACAATTGTATGGAATACAGTCCAAACTTGTGGTGGCTATGGGCAAACAAGCGTGACAAGTCAGGCAAATTGGAATAAAAACCCAAATCCTTTTCAAACTCAGTACAGTACAATAGGACAGTAGCAGAAGGCACTTTGTTTAAGCGAGCGTAAATCTGCTGCGTGTGCCCCAATGCCCAACGCTGCTGTTGCTGCTGTTGCTGCTGTTACTGCTACGGAACAGCAAGCACTTTTAAGTGCTTGGCTTTGCTTTGAGCATTGCCTGACCAAGTGCTTGCTGCCCCGACCAGCCAGCTGACTGCCTCGCTCTTGCTCTCCGCATTCATCAAACATTTCTCAGAAATGCAAAATACTTTTTAAATGTAAGTTTTAATATAATTACGAGAATAATAAAAGATTTCATTAAATATGTATATCTGTTTATTAATATATATATATATATGTATGAATATATAACTATATACTAATTTTCAAGTTAATTATTTCATTTAAACATCGTTATCAAAACGATAAATTTTTAACTTAGGTCCTATGACCAATCACTTTTCTATTAAAATTCATTATTCTACATCTGAACTAACATAGGAACACTTAAAAATCTAGAACTGTATGCTTTCATTTAAACAGAATCATTGTCTCTCAATGGAGGGCTAGTGTTGCCTCACCAAAACAAGGAAGACACACAGTTCTCAGTTTCTTGATCTACCAATATAAAAGCTTCTACTAACAAATTATGGCTAAGATAAGAAGGTCCCTGTGATAAAGGGACTGACTACAAATAAACAAGAAGTACACAATATAAAACTACAATATGAAATGAATAAGTAAATACATAGCCATACATGTCTGGCAAATAATGAACATTGGAATACCTAACCCAG